ATTTTATGCATTTTTCTAGCTACAGTTGATAATGGCAACAATAGTAATGAAAATGACAGCAATGTAAAGAAAGTATGTGAATATTTCAGCTCTGCGCTAGGTTGCATGTTGCCTTCATCTCATAAAATAAAGAAGAATATTCTGTCAAAAAACGTATGTCGACCTGGCCACGTAACTCTGCTGTAGCATGCGTCATTACGACATCGGCTTTTACATTTTGTTTCTTTTCCAGTTTATGAATGAAACATCCAGAGCTTCAATGTTTTCAGGTACAAAAAAACTTTTTTTCGTTAAAAAAGCTAATTTTTAGCATATTTATGTTGTTATACATTTCAGCATATTTATGTTGTTATACATTTCAGCATATGTATGCAAAAAGAATCCCAAAAATTTTAGTTCAAAAATACCTGACAAGGGAGCCTTTTGAAGTGCCCCTTTGCTTGCTCTTTCGAACATGGTATAGATGACATGGAAATAACATGGTTATTGTGACTTCTGATGTTGAGCGCGGATATAATATTCATTTGTGCCGTTATTGTCTTCTGGAGTGGATCTTTGGAAAATCGGTCTATAATGGCACATCTTAACACATAAAATTGCTTAAGCTCAGCCAAAACTCGATCTTAAGGTTTAAAAAGTTTACCGTACTGGTAACTTGACATCCTCTGTAAGACAGTCAGATCAAAATATGTTTATCTTCTATTGTAAGATGTGCCGCTATAGACCGATTTTCGAACGATCCACTCTTACAGACAATGAGTGTACAAATGAATATTAGATTCGTGATCAACATCAGAAGTTATCTATAACCATGTTCGAAAGAGAAATCATAGCGGTATTTCACAAGGCTCCGTCGTCAGGCATTTGCAAACTAAAAATGTTGAAATTCTCTTTGTATATGTTGGCAAAGTCAAATATGTAAAACCTACGTTGTTCGACGAAAAAAAGTTTTTTGGGATCTGATAAATGTTTGATGGAATTTTTTATTCGATAAACATTTGGCAAAAGTCCAAAAATATTGTTTACTCTAAGCTGTTTTCATCCTTCTTCTTTTACGATTTTTATGCTTACTCGGATGAGATAGATCTCAAGGTGTCATTGTAATGATGGTCAAAACCACATGGAACTGCCCTATATGTCAAGGTTGAACATATGAAATAAGTCTTAAATTGTTATGAAAATGGAGAACGAAATTCACATTTTTCCTTGTAGACACATATAATACCAAAGATAAAATGGTGGTTGTTCATCCAGCCGCTCATTGGTTGTTTCATCTGGCAAATTGTTTTTTATTAGTGAGTTATGCAACAACAAACATTCTAGCATTACGGATTCTGTTAGCATCTGGTTCAGTTTGTTTTACGTTATGGGGTGCACTTGTATTATCAATATCAATAGATACTACTGTTTATAATGGTATATTTTTTATTATCAATACAGTGCAAGCATTGATTATTTTATACAATATGCGTTCAATTAAATTTGATCCTTATCGAGAATTAGTTTATAATCATTTTTTTGGTAAGGATAAAATAAAATTAAGTCGAACTGAGTTTAATAAACTCACTAATCCTAATATTTGTTTCATTAGAACATTAAATACTGGATCTTTTGTGGCTGAAAAAGGAAACATTTGTAATCAATTAACATTATTACTAGAAGGTGAATTATCAGTATCAAGAAAATCAGGTAACAATAGTAATGATAGTGAAAACTTTTATGAAGTACATACTATAAAACCACTTGAATTTGCCGATTCACCCGAATGGCAATTTAAACATGGTACGATTGGACCAGCATTTGATGTTTATATTACCTGTTTAAACAATTGTAAATTTATGGTGTGGCCGTATGAACCGTTGATGAATTTAGTTAGCAAAGAGAAACAGTTAGGAAATATCTTAAATGCCGTATTGGGACGAGATATTGTACAAAAATTATTTTCGTCGCAAATTTGTGTGTATCGAAATTGTCTCCAATTTCAACAAGATCAAGATCAGTATCATCGACCTCCTTTTCAAAATCCTGAATCATATGAGATCATTCCAGTTGTAGATTATGATGCTGTTGCTACGGTTGCTGTTGATGAAGATAATTCTTCTGTTTGAAGTGATGAATGAAATGCAGCATATGCTGAAACCTACTCTTCCTTATGCACTAATATATGTCAGAAGGCTGAGATATTAGAAACCGTAATGTGAAATGCTGTTCGCTTAAAGTAGGGTGCGGACGGTCGACAAAAGGTTTCTATCGAACTCTCCCTTCCACTGTTTTGCCTAAAAGTTTAGAAGGAAACTTTTTACCAAATTACATCTTATGTAATTCAGTTTTTTTACAGATTCCGGATATGATATTGGTTTTTAAATAAAAATGCTCTAAACTCTTATAAATTTGGTTTTTACTTTCATTCTTAATACATATACGCGTGTATTTTACGTATGCAGTAAGAGAAAAGAAAAGGAAAAAACATGTTTTTTTTTCTAGCTTTTTCCTTCTCATATGATCGATCATCAACTATTAGCAACTTTCATCCTAGTTTGTGCACTTAATTTCATTGCTTATACGGATGCTGCGTATTTTGATATTAGAGAGATGCCTTCTCACGTACTAAAAAACTGCAATAAATCGACGATTTTTTAGCGATTAATAGCAATCAGAGATGTCGGAAAATGCTTTTTTTTCAACCCATCGGTCACCCATAACTCAGCTAGTCCCTCTGTGGGTGGGTTCCGGTTCGAAAGAATAGAATACATAATATTAGGTTGGCAAGAAAGTTTTGTCGTTTTTTTCGAATTTTTATTTTTATTTTTTTTCTTTCAAACATCCAACTAGTTTTCGATGATATATGCTCCATCACTATCTACTACCTGTCGCCAACGCTCTGGTAGAGAAAAGATCTCGCGTTCGTAAAAGTGCGAAGACTTCTGGCTAAAAAAAGTCCACCAAGTCCGTTTTGAGTTCGCTTTCGTCATCGAACTTTTTCTCACG